TACGCAATTGATATCAATTTTTGTTGCTGAAGAATATTTTTTATTGTATGATAAAGAAATGTTTAATAAAATTAGTTACATTGGAATATTCTCAATCTTCTGAAAGGTATTATAAAATATAATAATATATATAAAAATAATCATTTTATTTTTATTATATTTCACGTAAATGCAAATACATTTGTGTGAGATCAATTGTTTCTTATAATTTATATTAAATTATATTTCTCTCTGCAACCAAATATATATATATTAATTTGAAAGTTTAATAATTCTAGAATAGGTTTCTGCATATAGAAATTAAGAAAGTTAGCATTACAAGTAATTATATGAAATTTACAGTGGGACCGTAAAGTGAAGTACGAATACTCTTGTGACTCACTGAATATACTATATTCTAACCTAAAACTTAACTATTATACAATATACAGAACGTGTATACGTATTTGACAAATTTTCAAATTTATTTATCTCAAAAACAATACCCTCGTACGAACAAATATTATTTTACACTTACGATTAACAATCAATCTTTAATTACATAAAACAAACAATTAATAATTATATTTAATATAATTCAAATCAAAAAAACAAAATATATATATTACTTAAAAAATCATCTATTTTAAGATAATCAAATAACTCGAAGAAGAATAAGATGAAATAGTGGAGGAAGAGATTGAAAATAAAAAAAAAAAATAGAAAAAAGGAAGAAAAAAATCAATTGGTTTGAATGAAAGAGATATCGGAAGAAGTGTTGAAAATAATTTGAAATTGAAGCGTAAATCAAGTAACGATCGAAATATCTTATTCTTTTCAGATCTGTCATCTGTCTTCGGGAAAAGAGAAAGAGAATGAGAAAGAGAGAGAAAGTTGGAAACTTGCGGAAAGTGGATAGAGAAAACCGTACGCCAACTCGAAGCCAAATACTCCCAAGGGAGAAAGCTTGGGATATTGAATATCAGATCGCGTGTCTCCCGACGTGTATCTTCGTTCGACGTCGTTCGAATCCAACGGACCTGGGAAACAAAATCCGTTACCTCGGGGAATGATGCACAGTTAAAAACTACTTGTTTTTTTCTATTTTTTTTTCTTTTTTAACATGTTACTAAATATCGATAATATATTATTATTTAATTAGTTATTTCTCTCGTCCAAAATTATAATTCTTAATACGGAATCACAGGAAACTTGGACATAAAAAGAAGTAGAACTTAATTAAACTAAGTTGTAAATATCATACATTATCAAATTTTTAATTATTATTTTCTAAAACTATATTCTCATATATTAATTTTATTTCATTTATCATGAACGATTTATATCTCGTCGTTAAAATGTACACACGATTTAAACCCTTTGAGGTACGAAATTTAAAAGGACCGTACTGCACCGAAATTTTATTCCTTTTTCAATTGCACTAAGTTGGTTGATGCTTTTTTTATTAATAAAGAAATAACATGATATAAGAACGTATAAGATAAAATATTAATAATAATTCAATTAAATATTTTTTTGTCATAATAGGGTGGGACTCTAACAGTCTCACCGTGCATATTTAAGCATCAAAAAGGTAGGACACTTTTAAATAATAAATAATACTTAACACAAGGGGAGAAAAAAGAAGAAAAAAAGAACAAACGAATTTACTATTTCACTGTCAATCAAAAATACCAATATCTTCATCATCATCTTCTTCTTCTTAAAACAAAAAAAAATACAAGAAAACATAACCTCGAAACAATACCAATTTACAATTCCAATCAAAAACAACGAATATTTGTCTTTTATAACGACTTTACTAATATTATTAACGTAAATTAATGTAATTACAAAGGAATTAATACAAAAAATGAACGAAAAACATTGAAACGAGTGATCCAACAATTTTATCGTATCCAATTACCATCGAAAACCTTTTCAATTCTATTGGACAAGACAAATGAAACCAAAAAAAAAGAAGAAGAAGAGTAAAAAGAGTTCCAAAACTGAGAGAGAGAGAAAGAAAAAAAGGAAAAGGATGGGAAGGGAAGGGAAGGGTTTAACGATCGTTCAGTATCGCGGCTGCTAAAAGTCCGTAAAAGAACGGACGTTAAAAGGAAGTCTCGGTAGTATCGCTTACTGTTAGACTTTTATTCGCCCTCTTCTTTCGCGGGATCACCGAACAGAAGGACAGAGAGTTTTAGTCCATGAACGATCATCTCCCTCATGTTGGAATCCAAGCTCTCGAAATCGAGAATCCCGACGACCCTCTTCGAAAACCATCAAATCGAGCTTTCCTACTACGTTTTACGGAAAAACCTACGGTAACTCGCATCGTCGCGCTTATACGCTATAGATTTGTAGAAAGAGAAAGAGATAAAGGGAGAGAGAGAGAGAAGGAGAGAGAGAGAGAGAGAGAGAGAGAGAGAGAAGGGGTGGAATTGGGGTGGAAGGATGGAAGGGTGAAAGGGAAGAGAGAGACAAATGGCATCGGTTATTTGGAAAGGTCGACATGGAAGTAATAGTTGTAGTAGTAGTGAGAAGGATAAAAAAAGTTATGAGGATAGTCAATGAGTAAAAAAGAATAAGAATAATGAAAGGGAAATATAAAGTAAAATATATAATAAATTATAAAAGTAATAGTAATATATTGTATGATAATAGTTGTAGCAATATGAAAATAATGAATGAATGTATAGAAGAGAAAATAAATGAAAGAACAAGAAATACAAATAGAGTACATGAAAGTAGTGATATAGTAATAATAATAGCAATAATAGTGATTTTAATAATAGCAATAGTAACAGTAGTAGTAGTAATAATAATAATAATATCAGTAATTCGTGCCCGATTTTCACGAACTTTTGCAATCACGTAATAATAGTAGTAGTAATAATGATCATAGTAGTAACAGTAATAATAGTAATAAGAGTAGTAGTAGAATAAAGATAGAAATACGACAAAAATAAGTAAATGAGAAAGAAAGAGAATAAAAAATAGTGCACTAAGGTAATAGTTGCAGACTAGGATAAAAATATGAAAATAGTGAGATAGAAAAAGAGTACATGAAACTAGATAGATAAATAGATAAAGAAATGTGTGTGTATGTGTATGTGTAAAGAGAGAGAGTACATGAAGATAAATAGTAAAATAGAAGAAGAAATATATACATGAAAATAGATTGAAAGAGAAAGAAAGAGAACTAGAGAAGAAGAAGAAGAAGAAGAAGAAGAAGAAGAAAAGGATGAGAAAGGGCGTGGGCGGAGCTGGGTTAGGAAGATGGGATGAAAACATCGATTGCAGGAACTTGTAACACCGCGGTACGAACAGAGGGATCAGACTAAACGATAAAGCAAGCGGCCTGGAAAATGCCGGATCAGCTAGCCGATGTTTCAGCAAAAACCGTCTCCAATCGTAACGAAAAAAAAATGTAATAGACGTTTCGTATATAACTTCTGGGTTACTTCCTAAATGTACAAAATAATAAATATATATTTCATTTAAAGATCAATTGTGTGTGTGGATACCATCTTTTCCTATCTTTCTTCTTTACTTCTCCTATTAAAAATCATTTAAATAATTAAAATGAATAAATAACGAAATTTTTTTAGAAAATAATAAAATAAATTTCTTGATTGTAATAAATATGTTATTAATGTTTGTTCCTATAAAACAAATTGATTTAATAAATGGTTGAAACCTACTTGTATACTAAAGTTGTGATAAAATTAATAAATTTGCAAATTTGTAAATTTGAATACATTAGAAATGATCTTGATGATATTTTCTTGAGATTTCATAATTTATATTATACTCTTCATATATTCTTAAATCTAATAAATAAAATTACTTGCATACCTGAAAGATAAATAAAACATTAAAAAGTATACTTTTTGATTAAAATTTATCATTACAATCAAAATAATAC